CAGAAGCAAGATGTATCATGTGGCTTTCCGTGGACATTAGCTGTTGATTATTCACCTTGAAAGATATGAAAAAGAAACTATGTTGTTCTTGCCTTATGAGTATGACTCTCACATTTGTTTTAGAGTGTGATTGGTAACTACAAACGTAACTTGGAGTAATTAATATAGAGGAATTGAGAGTAATAATGTAAAATAACTATGAAAGAAAAAGAAAACATCACATCCAGCGTAACCCAATTTTTCTCTTCACATAACAAGAAGAACAAAATAAAAGGACTGTAACAACCGACCAACAGAACCCCCAACCTCTCTCTAACCATAAAACTTTCCGGCGCAGATTTGCGCTCCGTCGACCCGCGGTGGCACGCGTGGTCTCCTAAAGCGCCTTCCTCTTCCCTTACTCTTTGTAATTTTCACTATTTCACTTATCTTCTTCTTCTTTGTCGATTGCTAGGAGCTGTTGGTTGTGTCTTTGTCACGATTCGTTCGTCGAAGATAAGTAACTTCTTGTCTGGAGTTTCAGCGAGGCGGGATGGGTTGTGAGTGAACGGTCGGTGTTTAGGTTTGACGGCGGTGATTCAACGAGATTTTCAGCTTTCTCGATATAGTTCCCTGCCGGCAGTGAGAGCTCGTGAACGTGGCTGAAAGACTTCTCCTTTCAGATCTGGTGGGCTTGTTGTTCTTGCTCTTGATTTGGAGTGGGTCCGTCTCCGGTGAAGAGATATGGTTCTTGTTCGTCTGAATTTTCTCTTGTTTGCGGTCCTCCATTAGCGGTGTACTGTGTTGTGATGTTTGTCTCAGGTTGTCTCAAGGTCGTCTTTTACATTTCTGGTTTCAGTAATTTGCATTATGTTAGGACTAGTAACTTTGAGTTCGTGAATCTTGATTTTTATGGGCCAAGGGAGTTTGTGTTTTGATGGTTATGGCTTAGCAGTCTTTCTACTAGGGGTTTTGTGGTTGATTGCTCTCTGTTGGGTTCTTCTCCAGTGAGTGTTCATTGTGAGGTTTTATTGGCAAGGCTTTATCTTCATGGTGTTTGGGTGAGATTCTTTATTAGATCGTAGAGCGTTTATGTATCCAACGCGCGTGGACCGAGCAACGGTTCCCCTTGTTGAGTTATGAAGTCTCAGGGTCTTGGTCTTATTGTTTGGCGGGCGAGGCAGCAGCGATAAGTGTGATGTGGGTGTAGAAGTGTAGGCTACCGGATGGCGGGCTATAGGCAGCATCGGTAGGTACCTCCCGATCAGTGGCATCTTCTCTGTACTAAAGACTGCTAAGTGTTTTATGTGGCCCTTGTGTAGATTTACCGTTGTTTTGGTGCTAGTGTTCTATTAGTTCTTATGTTTATGTTTTCTTAAGTCATTCCGGTGTGGGTTTGAGTTGCTCCTGTGTGGGTTTTAGTTGCCACTTTCTTTAGGCTCTCAATTTTGGGGATATTTCGTTTTGTCGTCAGTGATTGTATGAATATCAGTAATTTGCATGAATGAATTTCAATTTGAACGGAAAAAACAAGAAGAACAAAATAAACACTTTTACTCTGTTTAAGCAGTTATTAGCAAAAATGAGTGTGATTGGTATACACCTAGTTTAACTAGGTGGAAATAAAAATAAAAAAAAAGTGAAGAAAATGCGTTATTCTCGTTTCCACTTCTTTTTAATAGAGAGATGATTTACAGAAACTAATACACTATTCTTTTCTTTTGTATTTCACTTGATTGGTAAAAAAAAAAGACTATTTGTACTCCATACCTACAATATTTACCATATTTGCACTTTATACCTAATTTCCCCCTAATTTTTTTCCCTCCATCATCACTATTTCCCCATAATATTTAGATATTTTCTTAATTACTACATTCTCTTGTATTTTCAGCCAATTCACCCAAAAAAAAAGTTGGAAACAAGTAAAAGTCATATCCAAAGTAAAATTTTACTCTATTAAGTACACACAGTCACACCCCAAGATAGGTGAAACCTTTTCATCCTGTTTGGCATGAATTCAGCTAAAGTGAGAATAAATGTATTTTTTTGCTAAAAATATAAAGCTATTTATGACATACAGTCACCCCCCTTAGTTATAGATGCTTACTGGTATTTTCTTATTTGAGTTTTTATAGCTGGCCAGTTTGGCTCAGATTGTAAGAATACTTGATTACAAGTGTTAAAAAGAAATTTTTTGATCTCTCATCGCTTAAATGCTCGCCTGTTATCATTTACGAAACTTGTTTTAGATCAAACATTTTATCATTGAAAAAGATACTTGATAAAAGAAGTTGTGGGAAACATGGTGGAATAACACGAAGACTCACATCCCGTTTCCTGTTCTGCCAAGTGGATACATAACAGAAATGTCACCGAACTAATTAAATAATGACACCTGTATTTACCACGTCACACCATAATGCATGGCGGTTGAAAAAAAATCAATCGGTTTGGTTCCATCTGGCTTCTGCACCGTTATAGAATCCAACGGAAATATTTTCTTAATGGGCAAATCGTCATTTGTGTAACGTTACATGAATGTACCCATCAAACCTAAACAAACGCGCTTTCCACGGTAAGTCGTAGTGTGCACCTTAGTATACGAACTGTAAGACCATCTCCAACAATAGATCTTTCACTAAAGTTCTAAATCAATTTTTAAGTGAAAATAATTAAATTTAAAATTTTAGATACTTGTTTAATTTTTATCTCTCCAATGGTAGAATCAATTAAAGGTTCTAAATTTCAAAAAACTGAAAATTTGTAACAAGAGATTACTTACATCACACTCTAATTTGTAATGAAAAAACACACACTTAACAAAAAGAAACAAAACAAGATTGTCACAGATTATTGTTTACCTCTTGTCACTGATTCCCCCACTAGGTAATAAGATGTTTGGTCGATTTGAGACCAATTTGTTCTTGTCTGGTTTACTACTCCGGGAAACCCTAACTCGTAGAGACCAAAACCAACTAGTCCAACGAGAGGAGCAGCAGAGAGAGGACTTAAGAACCTGGACTTAACAGAATTTTGACAACATATCCTCGACAGACACAGACACAGACACAGTGAAACAATATATTGAAAACTGACCTTACAACATTACGCCAAAGGCCACTGAAGCCAAGGATAATCTGAAGAGTTGACGCAACAATTAGAGCACCTTGTGTTGCTGAATGACCCTTGTAAACCGCTGATAATGCACCAATAGCTTCAGCTAAAACAGATAAAAGAACAAACTCTCAATCTCACTAATACCAAACAATAAAAGCCCGGAACCACACTTTCAAACAAGAAGTATTCAACAAAAAAAAAACAAAATACCAAATCAGAAACATATCATTAAAATTAGATATCTGGAACGTGTTCTTTTGGAGGATGTGGTTGTGGTTCAGACGCTTTTGGTGCCGGGGCTGACATCTTTTTAAGCTCAGTGACCACAGAGCAGTGAGGCAGGACGTTCAGTGAGATTATCTTTATTACAAAGAGTAGTTGTCCTGTAAAGAACACTCAATTTACTCAGCTTCATCATAGCAAAGTTGAGAATCACAAGGAAAAATCAGAGACGGTAAGAACTAAATTTTTGTTTAGATTTTCAGACATAAATTTCAAAAGCTGAACTCATTACAAGTATGAATGATCCTCTAATCAGATATAAATAAGAGTATAGCAAAATCAGGGTTCAAGCAATCTTCCAATTGAAATCAAATAGCAGTAGACATCATCCCAATTCATCATTTAACAAAATTAAAGGATTTGAAAGTTACAAGTGTTAACTCTCTCAGAGAGATGATGAATAGGTAGAAAGATTTCATCTTTATAAGTAGAGTCGACAATTGGGCATCTCTATGAACTCTTAATAAAACCCTAATTCCTCTTTAAATTAGAAAAGAGAGAGACCAATCACTTTGTTGTGGACTCACCTATGATCTCAATTGAAAGAATCGGAGTAAATAGAGGATGGAGAGGACTGATTCCTTCTGTGGCCATGGTTTCTTTTTCAATGGGTTTACGGAAGGGAGAGACAAAGAACAGAGAGACAACCACTAATCAGAAAATGACACTTGTCATTTAGAAGTGGTTCCATAAAACTCTAATTATAGAACCATATCTAACTACTTTGTGTCATTTTTATTTAAATTTCAACACATAAATACTTAGATACAATACTTAGAAGTGTTTTAGATCTCCCTTTGGAGATGGTCTAAGTCCATAATTGATAGATCTGTCTAAGTATACGAACTGTAAGTCCATAATTGATCATTTAATTACACATCAGCTTTCTTTTTGTAACGTGTTTTTGTATCATCAATTAAATCATGAATATGTTCAACGTACCCAAAGAAGAGACGCGACTTGTGTGGATACCTTAAATGGAAAAAAATACATCGGTACAAGAACTATACTCGAATTGAAAACGTATAATACGCGCTTTCGCATTGCATGCCTATTATAACACGAACAAAACTTGGATTCACCCCCTATGGTGAACCCTCTAATTTACCTCAATGTTTAACACCAATCAAAATGACATGTAGAATTAGTTAAAAGATTAAAACTAAAAAAAGATAAATGGAAAATAACGAAAATTCATACTATAATGAATCTGGGACCCAAGTTGCAGGGGGTAATTTCGTAACTTAAGGAAGTCACGTGCCACAGAGAATTACGGTGTTTATTACCTCATCAATCACATGGCTAGTCAACCCACTCCCTCAGATATTCTGAGAGTAGGTCCCACTAACTTACTTGCCAATAACCCTCGTTGTAGCCCACTAGTAGGCCCACACTCACTGTCCCTATACGCTGTATCGTGTGCGCGTGAAATAAGAGGCGCGTGCGTGTAAATGGAAACTTCTCCCCCACCACCACCATCACCGCCACTAGTAACAATCTTCCTTCTCCTACAAATACCTCTCCTGAAAACAGAGTCTCTCAGACTCATTATTGAACCTTAACGAAGCATTAACCTCCGCTTTTAAAAATCTTACTTTCTCAATACTCGTGAGAGAGCCATGGAACCTACTAGCTTAATCGGCGACGCTGCGTTCTGGCTTCCGTCGGAGTTTCTCAATGACGATGATTTTCTCGTTGAGAAGGAGAACAACAAGTGTTTGTTCCCGAGTCGTGGATTTGATTCTAACGTTACACCAATCGGTGACGAGGAGGAGCTCTTAGTCGGAGGATTCACCAGGAAAACGGTTCAGGCATCTCTAGAAGATTACTGCTCCGGTGGATTTTGCGGAAACGACGCCAAGGTAACTAAACATATCATCATCGTCTCTCCGTATACCTTCGTTTCAGATTTTTTAGAGAGGTTTTAAGTTATAACCGTCGCTTATGGTTTATCCAGGCGTGGAATGCGACTCGTTCGCCTCAGTCGACTCGATGTGATCGCCGGAATCTAAACCGCCAACATCATGATATGTACTGTGCCGCGGCGGAGGAGGAGTTAGCGATGATGAATATCAACGGTTACAATAACCATAGTGATAGACGACTTCTCCATCTTCCTGAAAAACATCCCCTCACCGCAGCTAAAATCCCTAACGACGCTTCTGCCTACTACAGTCGCCAATCTCTCCAATACCAGAAGCTACAAGCTATCCAAGTAATCAATATTCAATTCTCTAACATCGATTTCTCTTAGTATTTGGATAATACTGATGCTGATTGTTTGTCTTCTTGATTCAGTTTCAGCAGCTAAAGCAGCAACAGTTGATCAAACACCATCGCCATTTGATGCAGCAGAGCAGAGGATTGGGTGTTAATCACAACAAAATTGATGGCTCTGTGGACTTGTCGCCGTCTGCATGGTCTAATCAGCCCCAGATACTCGATGGGGCTGATTTCCTCGGAAAACGTGGATCAACCGGAACCGGCGTATTCTTGCCCCGTCGCGTTACCCCGGCAACCGTCGATACTCCCAAGAAGACCAGTAAGTTCTGAAGATTGCAAATCCTAACCTCCAATTTTTTGGGCTTTCAACGTTTTTTTTTTTGTTTTATGAATTGCAAACAATGGTTAACTTTAATGTTTTTGTTTTTTTTTTTAAATTATGTTTTTGGGTCTAATTTAATGTTTTTTTGGTTCACTAACAGATGCGTCGTCGAGACAGAGGAGCAACAATGGGGGATTCTCGAGCCAAGTGAAGATGGAACGGCCAGTGAACGAGCTTCGTTTACCTTCGGAGTGGGCTTACTGATTGATTTGGCTTTTCATTGCTTTTGGGTGGTGTTTAGGAAAGGTTTTAAGAATAAAGGATGAATAAAATTTGGTTTATTGACAGGGTAGTGAACATAGTGGTGGTAACATTAGGGCTAAATAGATAATAGTGGAAGAATAATAAAATAAAGGATGGAGACATAGGAAGATGTGTGTAGAAGACGAGGTTTTGGATCGTTTTAACCACCATTGATGGTTTTGGATCGTTTTAACCACCATTGTTCGTTCTAACTGTCGCTTTTGTATTCTCCTTCCTCACTGCTGTTCTTTTAATCTCATAGGATAAGTTTGTGCATGTTGGATGTATGTAATTATTTGCATTTAAAATATATAAAATTTCAAAATTAATTTAATATAATTTATGTATTTATCTTAGAATATTAAAAATTATATTTTTTACAAATTATTATTTTTTAAATAATTTTATAAATAATTAATTTAAATTTTATATATTAATTATGGTCATGATTTAACATAACCATAATGATTTTAAAAATTAAAATTAACAAATTAAAATTAACTTAGTTTTATATAATGATTTAATAATTTAAACATTAATTATGGTTATGAGAAGTTTACAACGTTCACGTGTCAACTTATTTATCTTTAATTTTTTCTCTCGTTGTGTTTTTTTATTTTGGATATTACTCGATATAAATATTTATTTTGAAGTTTATTCTCATTTCGTTTGTTTCTTTTTGACCTCAGATTTTGAAAATACTTAATTTTTAAATAATTAAAGAGATACATTACTTAGGTTAAGATCTGCATTTTATGCATAATAAATATTTTATATTTATTAATTATATTCTCTTTTTCTGCATATTATAAAATAATAAAATAATAAATATATATATTAAATAACTAAGGAATCAGTTACTATTATGTAGTAAATTGGCTTATGGATATAAATTTAACTATCACTCTTGTTTATTCGCAATCAGGGTAAATAAATCAAAATAATCAATATTATATATTATATATGATATATAATTAAATTTAAATAATATAGTAATATAACACACTTTTAATTTGAATATTTATTAAATGAGGTTTCTACTCATATGATTTTATGATTATTTGCATATTTGTGTAACAAAACTTTACACCAACAAATCAATATTAACTTTTCAATATATGTACAATGAAAATATCAAAATATAAGTATGTATTTTCATACGATGTATAGTTTAATTTAAACGATATGAAATATATATAAACTAAAATTATTTCTTCATGTGGTCTTATAATCATTATACTTTAATATATAAAAGAAATTAAAACCTTGATCCTAAAAGCTTATGTGAAACTTTTAACATTTTTAGTAATTTATAACTCATTTTGAAAAATTCAAAATACAACATACACAAAAATCTAGAATTTTATTATATGATTAATGTAATTGTGTAATTTATTTTAGTAATAAATAAATAAACAAAATGAGAAAAAAATACATATTGTTATGAAATCTTTCTTATTTAAAATCATTAATTGTCATATATATATTTTATTCACATTAGGGTTTTATTTAAGAAATCACGTAAAAGAATAAATATTTGATATATGCGACCAACTATACCCTACGAAATTGGGAAGTTTACTGAAATAACACTAATCTATGTTTTTATTACTAGATTAACTCTTTTTTGTTATTATTTACAAGACTGTTTTTTGTACCCAAATTGCCCTCATCTCTTTTGTTAACAAAAAATGTATTTACCAAAAATGCCATTACTATTTTATTAAAAAAATAATCATCTTTGAAATTGATCAAAAGTATATCGTTGAAAACCTGCGATACATGATGACAAACTTATTAATTTCTGGGAAATTTATTTTCTCTCACAGATTTACCACGAAAGACTTAATATTGCCATACATTACAATAGATATATTTAAGTTGGCAGATTTGTTTAAGTTGGCAAACTTTTATAGCAGATTTTTGGTCTTATGATAGCAGGTTTTTAATAAAGTGAAAGTTTGGGTTTTGGATCGATGATTTTTCTCGCAAACTTTTGATTATTTTGGCAGATTTCTATATTCGAGATGGTAAACTTATATTATCTTTTCATAGCAGACTTATAAGTTAATAACAAAAATATTTTTTTTTTATTGATAGCATACTTTTATGTACGACATGGCAGATTTTTAGGAGTTTTGTGTACTCACAGACTTTTTTAAATAAACCAGATTCTGGTTTACTAATTGAACCGAATAAGATTAAAATTTCTAGTTAAGTAATGACGAATTTGAACCCAAAAAATTGATCAATAACTCATGGGTTTAGTCGTAACATCTTCTCCAAGTCACGTTTTTCTCCTTTACTAACAACTAAATGTCACCTAATCCCAAGAAAAAATTGATGGAAGATATATGTTAAAACAGTTTGTGGTCAGTGCCTATTCAAGAAGGAAAGGTGGATGATAGCAGGTTTTTAATAAGGTGAAAGTTTTTTCACTAATAAAAATTCATAAAGTCCGGATTACTAACTGAAATGTGCAAGAGAATTGGTTACGGAAGAGAGTGTCTACCATTATTTACATGCGTATACGACTATCTTCTTATATGTTAAGTGAGAAGGTGCCGTTGCATGAAAAGTTCACTATGGTTCATGAGTGCAAAGGGGTTAACAAACAAAGCAAAAATAAAAGCTCTGCGGCGTTTTTCTGTCAATGTTTTCCAATCTTGGTATGTAATAATAAACAACTTCTGTTTCTTATATGTACACAAACAATATATCACAAAGCTTATGTTTCTCATATGTACACAAAGCTTCTGTTTCTTACATTTGAGAAAATGTAAGTAATTGTTTCTTACATTTTCTAATGTATTTTTAATTTAATTCATTTAGTTGATTGGGTATTTTGGTCTTTATATTACCTTTTCTTTCTTTCTTAGTTTTTGTATGTTATTCTAGTCAATACATAAATAATATGTGTTATTATAAGTAATTTCTCTACGAAATATTATATTGCTAGAGAATATAATTTTTTATATTACATGTTCTGGAATCCTTCTAGAAGACAAAAAGCTATGCCACATAGATTGAGATTATTTTTAATTATTACAAACTTAAAGGTACAACTTTTAAAATTATTCTCTTTTAATATATAAGGGATTCCCTGCGTTCAGTTTATGGTTCTAAATGGTGACCAAGAAAAAAAGTATGAATTTCGTTTCAAAATAAGTGTCGTTTTATATTTTCGATGCATATTTTATTAAATGTATATAATTTTCTATTTTTTCATTGATTGAAATGTGGTTAGGTGTATAGATAATTGTATTTTTATTTTGAAAATATGTAAAATTAAATACTTTCTTAATCTATGTGCAAAAATCTAAAATGACAACTAAAATGAAATGGAATGAATAACTCTTTTTTTTATAAAGGGCTTAGGATCATTGCATCAGGAGATGAATAATTAACAAGAGAAATTCTTTGCCAACATTCAACTTGTTTCTTTAGTTTTTGCATACTAAACGATATTTTAATATTGTGGATAAGTAAAACTCACAAGCGAAGATGTATTAAAATGTAGGAGTCGGCACAAGCCGAGTACTTGGTATTTTTGTTATATTTGATATTCGGCTTAGCATGTATAGGTATTCAAAATTTTGTTAAAAACAATTACTTGCAGTTTCAAGTATTTGAGAAAAATTGATGGATTTGCAAGTTACTTGACTTGTTTTATTATTTTTTATTTGTAATTTTTTTATAAATTACTTGATAACTATTAATATTTTATTTGATAATTAGTTAAAATTTAAAGGTAAATAAATTTATTATATAAAATAATATGTCATTATTTTGATTTTGTCATTTTCTGATTTTTAGTCATTCGTGAAATATATTATATTAAGAAAGAAAAAAACTCCAAAATGTTTATATAAATATATCCCTTATGTTTGATTTACTTATAAAAATTGAAATATAAATGAGTTGTTTTACTATGATTTAAGAAAATGTATTTTTGTTTATTAACAAAACGAATAATAAACCAAACAACACTAAATAATTAGTTTTATTTATTATTTTTTATTTGTTTTTATTTGAATGCAGTTTAAACAGACTAATTGATACACGTCTTAGTCAAAACAAGTATTCGACTTTAAGGATCGTATACCAACCAAGTAGTGAACATGAGGCACATAACAAGCAATTGTAGCCACTTATAAAATATATAAATTTTAATTGATTAATGAAGTATATACTAAATATTTAATAAACCAAGTAATATATGACAAGTAACAAGTAAATGATAACAAGTAATAAAACAAGTAACAAACCAAGTAGTTAAAAATTAAAATGAAATTCATACTTGATTTGTACTTGCGAGTAATAAATCTGTTTACTTGTTACTCAACTTGATTGGAGCAAGTACTTATTTTTTTAAACCAAACCGAGTCAAATATCGAGTATAAGCCGAGTATCAAACATTTGTATCCAGCCATATTAAAAAGGGAGATACACACCTGTCTTATGGTGAGGTTAGAGAATCCTAATCACGCGAACTTACAAAAATTAGTTTACAATATTTTTTACAATAGTATTGACTTATTTAATTAATTATAAAGTAAAAAAAAAGAAAATTGTGATTTAAATCACCAACTTTCAAATTTAGTTGAAAACAACATAAATTTTCTCTTGGACCCTTTAAAGCACCAACTTATTTGAATATCCAATTCAAAACGTTACGTACTGGTTTTTAAGAAAACTACAAGAATGTTTAGAAAACGCCACAGATGTTTCACTCAAATAATACGATGTCTTATGTTCTAAGTGCTATAAGTAGAGAAGAGAGAAGAAGGAATTGATATGCATTATTCTACGAGTAATGAATCTTTTATATATGATTACAATGACTTGAGTACAAAGTCTAATTTGGAGTAGGAAACAAGTAAATCTAATATTTTCCTTAATAGACAACACATAATATTCATAACACTTTCTTTTGATGTCCATTATACTAAAGTGCTTCAAAATGCCGTAGATGCCGCCTCGTTAAAAGCTCGCCAGGAAAATTCAATGGAAAAAACCATTATTAAGGAAAAAGAGTGCAACGCACAATATATTTTCATCATGTGTACATACGTCGAGATTTTTGAGACAATGTTGTCTGAAAAAATGAATTAGCTTCTTGTCAGTAGCAATGGATAACGCCTTAGTGAATAAATCGACCAAACTGTCATTTGAATGAACTTGTAGGACACAAATATCGCCATTCTTCTGCAGTGCATGAGTTTTCATATGTTTGATCATATTCTTCGATTCTCTTAATCTCAGAAACATTTGAACATTGATAGACTTTATCATTGAATTCTAATATCCTCCTTGAGTGTCTATGCTTAGTGTGTTCTTTGTTGTCTCGTTAAAACCTTGCCATATAAAAATCCAGCGGAATAAAAACCTTGATAAGGGAAAAGAATACAACCACACACATATCACATTTCTTTCCCGGGAAACAATATTTTCACGATATGCATTCCAGTCGAATAAATCTCTTTTGGGACTTGAGATTAGACAGAATAAATTCTTTTGATTTATGTTATAAGATTTACTAGGTGTATTCATGCACCATGTGCAAAAATAAAAATTTTAAAAATAAAATTATATTTAAAAGTAAAATTTAGTTAATTTTAAATTTATCATTTTGTTACGTTATTAATTTTACATTATATGTAAAAATTAAGATAAAATAAACAAATTTTATTTCAATTTATTTAATAATATATATGTATATGTTTAAAATTAAAATTTTGGAAATTTTTTTCGGTTATTATATGGTAAATCAGAGTCTATATAATTAAGAGAAAATTTTCTTAGGTATATAATTATCAAATATAAAATTAAATAATAATATTTCTAAAATTTAGAGATGTTATAAATAAAACTAACAGTATTGGGATAGGAAATTATAATTTTTATAGGAACTTGCATAAATTTGTAAATATATATTTACAAAATAGATTTGAAAAATATTTCAGAATAGATAAGAAAATTATAATTTTTATAAAAACCCGCATAATTTGAAAGTTATTAATAAAAATTATATAATTATAAAAAAAATAGATTTGAAAATTATTTCAAAATTTGTAAATATTGATATGTTTCTATTTTACTGTTATATTATTTATTGTTATGTTAATGATAATTTATGAGTTATTACCATATTTTAAAAACTTACCAAAAATATATATGAACATTAAATGTAATTGAATATGTCACAGTGATATTTCATATTTTTAATGAGTTTTAGATTCACATTTTAGCTTATTATGGTCATGAGGTTGCATATTAGGTGTATATATTGCATTAGATTGTTCATTTGCATATAACAGGGTCTAGATTGCACATTTGGAAGTTTTGGGCGACATTGGAAGGTTATTTCTGCAATTTACAAAGGTTCAGGGGCCGTTTTATAAAG